ATGTCTTTTTTTTTTTTACTTATAATCTATAAATTGATTTTTTTTTTAATAATTTGAAAAGATATAACCACTAGTGGTATAGAGGGATATTTCGGTTAAATAATTTAAAAATATATGTATAGTTTGTTTGGGTGAGTAGGAATTGATTTTTTTTCCCACCAAAACGCGTTTTGTTTACCTTTTGTGACGTTTTTCTTTTGGTTTTCAACAATTCTTACTGTTCATTAGCTCACAAAAACACCAAATTCATTTGTTTCCATCTTTTTATTTCTTATCAAAAGATAAACCTAGTAGCAAATAAATAAATCTGACGAAAAAAAATCAAATCTTTTCTAAAACAAATTAAGGAAATTTCCCCTTCAAATTTTATGTTTATTTGAATTAAAAGAAAAGATCATGTTTAGTATTAGTTAAATTATATTACCACTATTTGTATATAATAAATTTTATTTTTCAAATTTTATACCTATTTCACATATCTTGTCTAATTATTATTAGATTTGATTAGAAATTATTGATAGAACATAATCAATCAACAATAACTTTAATTTACTAATTCAAATAATTTACATGGAAGTATCATGATTTTGTTATAATGTTATCATCGCAACGATATTTTCATAAGTATAATATTGATATATTTAGATATGATGATCAAAATTGAACAATTATGAACTAATTAAGCTACAATTAAAGTTTTATTTAATAATAAAAAAGTTTGCATCAATATCCACAATTTCCGTATTTTTTCCCGAAATATCCATCGACATCGACATATCTATCGACATATCCGTAAATTCGGGATCTCAACATTTCCATCGACATTGATATTTTGAACCTTGGTAACAATTACCTTATTCCCTCCATTATAGTTAGATTGACCATTTTGTGTGTTATTTAAACTAATCCAATTCATTTGATCTATTTATTTCATTTCTTCAGCACTCCAACTTCAAAAAAAAATTAATGAACCCTTTGGCAAATGGTTTATAGAGATCCTTCTTTCGAGGGAATAATATATTTTGCCTTTTCCTATGGCATAAGATTGGTCAAAAAAGAGTTTCAAAAAAGGAAAAATGGTCAAAGAGAAGGTCAAAAGTGAGGAGAGAGAAGGACAAATATATGCAAAGAGCAATTAATTTTTTTTATTACATGGTATGGTAACTCAAATAAATAGTATTGAATAATATTTGGTTGTATATTGTACTTTCTTAGTACTAGTTTTGAAATGTACACAAGTTTCCAAACAATAAATACTTTTTGGATAAAAGGTGACTATGAGTTGGTATGTATTGAATTATAGTAAGTGAAAATAAATTTTGTATATTTATGATACTTAATTATAAAGTTAGTGTTTTAGAAAAGAGACTATTGATAACCAAATCTAAAATCATGTGCAAAATCATGTTTTGAATATTAAAATTTAAAAATAGGTTGAAAATATAATTTGTTGGGGGAAATTGAGTTGCGGGACCAACCGCACTACCGAGTACGACCCGTGGAGGGCGCAATGTCAGAATTGGCAGTGGCGTACAGACTGCTACGCAACACGCCCTACTGTGCAGCACCTATAGTAGGTCGGGATGGCAAGCGATGGGGGCGATACCCCACACTGAGAATGTTCCCTTACGACCCACCAAAACCCGTATGCGAATGAAGCTCATCACATCCAATGCCAGGCGTCCTCCTTGGTCGACTCTGTCACTTATAAAAGGGACAGGATCCCACCTCACAAAGTAAGCAAAAAAGCTATCACTCAATAGCAAAAAAGCTATGACTCAATACACCAAGTGCTCTTCATTTTACTCTTTTCTTCCGATTTACTAACTTGACCGTCAATGACTTTATACAAGGCACGACACTGGTGTCAAGGTCTGTGCAAGCTAACTTGTTCGACAGTCCTATCGAAGGACATATAGACCATACAGATTTCAACATCAAAATATTTTTATTTTAATCTCTAAACTTTCGTACTTATTCTATTTCTTATTTTATATATATATATATATAAAACTATTTAATCTTCGCATGTAATGTTTTAACAATTAAAGTTTTCAAGAAAAATATAATATAGATGGTATAATATATTTTGAAGTTTTCAAGAAAAATATAATATAAATGGTATAATATATTTTGGTAATAGTATATGGACAAATGTTAATATATCAATGTTTCGAATAAATTTGGGTTCTTTAAATCGTAAGAATTATTTAAATTTAAATTTAAACCTTATTTTAGTCATGCTTACTTTTATTTGTTCTTTATACTTTCTAATATATTAATTTTATACCCCTAAAACATCCGTGCAATTCCCCGATCAGCTTAGGTATTTACAATTAAATTTTATATTYCATTTAACATAATTAAACTAGCTACTTGCATACAAAATTGATAACATTACAATTTTAATAAGCTTAGGCTTATAAATTCTAAAATTATATAATATGTGTTTGAAT